TGGCCATCATTGACTGACTGGTGCTGGTGTTGGGCACCCCCTTCGGCCGTGTCTTATGGCTGTCGTCGCTATAACTGGCTGTGCGTCTCGTCGTATGCGCGCCGGCAGTGGTGGTCATCATCGGTGGGGCACCGGGTGGTGGGGCGGCGGCAGCGGCTGCGGCCATGGCTGCCGCCTGACTGGTCTGTGCTGTGGCCGCCATTAAGACCGCAATCTTTTCGCCTATTTGTGAATTTCGACGATTTATTTGTTGCGAGTTTTGAGACATTTGTTGCGCTTTTGTGGTCTCAGTTCGGGTGCCGTACTCCCCGTCCACGTCAGACGATACACCTGTTTGTTAGTTATGATAACAATTAGTAATTGGTTTCATAAATTGGTATTATTTTTATGAATGACATGGTGAGCAAAAAACATTAGATTATTGATGTGCCAATTGAAATTTAATTTAAGTAATGAATATGATTTTTCTTATAAAATTTATTACAGTTTCGAATTTATTATTAAAATAATAACTTAAATTAATAATTTGATAGGAAATATTGAACTATCAACTAAAATCATGCAAAATGTGGTCATTTATTGAACCCATTAGACCATTATTTTGGAGTATATTTTGTAGGTTAGGTTAGGTGCTAGGCAGTGACCAGGCGGACCACTTAATATTGCATTGATACTTAAAATTGTGTCTAATAAGTTTTACTAATATATAAATTACAGTTTATAATACAAACATTTAAATACAGTAAGATTTGTACTGTATTTACTGTATACCAGTAAATATGTGCTCACAATATCTATTACCGTATATTATTATATACACAAAATAAAGGATAACCAAATATGACTTACCGGATGAGCTATTGTCACAGCAATCGACTTCGAAACACGATTTACTCATTCGCATAGAATTACTATTACTGTCATTAGTATTGCTGTGAATGTTGGCTGACGTGACGGTGGGGTCCTTCTTATGCTGGAGCGCCGGTACCACTGGTGGGACAGTAGTGTCGCCACAAATACTGGACCTGCGCTCGAATTCGCGGATATTTTTGCGGACTTTACTAACATTTGTCGAGTTATTTGAATCGC